TATTCCTTTAGCCGTTGGGATGGTTGCCTCTCAGTGCGGCCGTTGTACGTCCCTTTGCAAACGCACCGGAAGGATTAAATAATCATATAAGTAACCAGTGTAGGTAGCCAATCTCTGTGGCTAGTTTGGTCCATTGGCTAGTCTGTAAAAAATCGAGCTGCGTTGTAGATCCGCCTCACTGCACGCACCACACGTTTTTTTCAGGAGGTTAGATCTTTACTTTNACTTTAAACCTTCCGGTCTCTACAGCTCATCCGAATAGACAACAACCAAAACAGCGCACTAAAGTGTATAGCTTTTGGTCTTTTAAACTGAAACTGATCGCGCATCTCGTTGTAAAGGTAAAAGAATGAAAACTTTCTTTTGAGCCGCGTGAACCTATTCGGATACTGGTTTTTCCTGAAAGCTTCTCCCGATAAGAGTGATCGTGTTCTCTGAGAACATCCTTAAGCTCTGTTAGTTCTTCATTTACCACATTGTGGGGCAGATCTCTCGCACTCGTGTTCTGAGATTCTGAATCAAATTTCTTTTCTTTCTGAGTGGGGCGAAGCTGGCTAAGTTTGTTTATTTACCCTTCTACGTTAATTTTCTGCGTATTGGACCCCCTGAGGAACTGTCATCTTTTAGAAGGAGTGCCTCGTCTAAGAAGGTCAATATGTAGTTTTCTTTTGTTTGTAACGTTAACCAAATCGATTTTTGAGCTTCATTGAATATTTGCTCTACCTCTTGCTTCAACGTTTTATTTTCTAATTTGGCCTTAAACATATCTGCTAACAGTGGACCTAAGAGGAACTAATGGCCGTTCCGTCTATTTGCCAGTAAATATCCATCAAATATAAATTTAACATTCAATAGGAATCTCAGCAGTAACTCCTGCAGATTCTTCTTTGATTTTCTTACCTGTATTTGTTCAGTGTCAATGAAGCAACAGAGTAAATAGAGCGTTTCCAAGAGTGGTATGTTCGTGAACAAGGATTTTGCACCCAAGAAGAAAAACTTATCATTCTTTACTTTCCGTTGGCTAATGATGTTCACAAATTCGAATGTGTCTCGCAATCTACATTTAACAAGCTTTCGTGGCACTGGTTCGACAGTTCCTACGAGTCACTTTGCAGTCTGACGATATGGTGACCTAATCAGAAATAGAATTATTCTTAGTGGTGTGCCAGTTTTGTGAACCTTTGGGTAACCGGTAAAGGTGTGGAACTGTAGGCCCAGACGGCTTGATTGCATAGAACACTGACTGATCTATATAGCATTAGTTCTTCAAGGATTTGAGGGTATTCACAAACGTTTTCGCTGTATGTGATGTTTTCTCTTTGCCTTCAGGCGCACTATCCATTTTTTCCTCACCGAACAGTAGCTTGGAGATCTTGATGTGATCGCACCTATTCACAAGGACAACTCTTAGTCCTGTATCTGGTCTGTTTATTATAATGCCTTTGCGTTGTTGGACCTCTTTAAGCGCCTCCAACTGCTTCAGAGTATTGCATGTGTG